GAGTTAGCCGTGCCCTGACTTAGATCAGCCCAGAGGTTGTTTCGGGGTTCAATCTGTGAGTTAGCCGTGCCCTGACTTAGATCAGCCCAGAGGTTGTTTCACGGTTCAATCTGAGTTACGGGCGTGCCCTGATGATCGGTGATTTATAGGCTATCGTTAGAATTTGAAGCGTTTCTTACAGACCACGTGTCGTCATTACCTATAGAATAGGATTCGTTGTTTGAGTTGTATCCATATCGATGTTGCTTTTCATGCGCAACCGTTAAACAAAAAAGGATGCTCTAAGGAATGACACGTGGTCTGAAATAGGAAGACATTACGACCAAGCCAAAAAGGTTTATTTATTTGTGAAAATTGATTTCATTAAAAATCCAGAAAGCAATCGAGAAGAAAATTGAAGACAATCCAGCTATTGCTCTGAAGCACCTGGTCACGCCTCGAGAGGATGAGGAGGAACGCCAAGAAATCCTCCTTCGCTACGGCCAGTCGACTTATTGCCACCACAGAGCCATGCGGGAGATTTGGATGAAAGTTCTAGACGAAACGAAAAGGAGGGAAATTGTACCTTGTAAGAGTGTTATTCATCCGATATTTAGTACATCGTTTGGCCTGCACGTGGCTGTCATCACGGCAGACTCGCCTCCCAAGTTTATTTTTGCTCGTCGGGCCAATAGAGGTAAGAGTGGAGTCACTGATAATCATCTTGTGCTAGTAATAATAATAATTATATATTTTATTTGCTATCCGCCTCTGATTGGACGAGAATATCATTCAGCTAATCCCTGATACGGCTTCGGCAGAGTCTTGGTATTAATAGTTTACTATACTATAACATGCTCAATCCCATCCAATAGGACGTTTTCATGATAGCGTAATTTTAGTACGACTACCAAAATGCTTCGCGCATTTCCTATCTTATTCAATTTCGTATTCCCTCATGAGAATAGTAAGACAATTGATGCTAATCAACTGAACAAAAGAAAGTGTACAAGGGATTATGGTAGTTGTAGTAAATGAAGGCATAATGCAAGTGTCCTATTGCTAAGATCTGGTGATTCCAGTGATGGCCATGATGATGATAGGGAAGAATGAATGAATGAATGAAGCTAGAGAGCAAGGAAGAGAGTAAGGATGGGAGGGCTCGAGAAAACTCGTGGTAAGAAGCGAAAGGTTGATGATAATGGTAATTGCTGAGATGAGGTGGGATAAAGGAACAAAGGAAAGATAGAAGGATTGAATGTAGAGATGGACGGACGGAGCTAGGAAGATTGAAAAGAGGGGGAAAAAGAAGGAAAAGGAAGAAAAGAAATTCATGCGTCCTGATGGAAGGTTTTGAAACTGTTTTTTAAATRCTTTTCTTTTACACTCGGGGTTCTCGCTTTATGCATGTCTTTTATCCGGATGGTAAAGTATACCGTCATTTGAAGTGACACACACTGCAAGATGGTACCCTTGAACCCTTGATAGCCTTTGGATTCACTTTAATATTATTCTAAAGTAGTGTGTTCCGATCCCTTCAGAGGGTATGGCAACACCTGGCAAATTCACCTGCGGTGCGGTTGAAAGCGCATCCGTCAAAGACTACGAATTCAAAGATGGCAAGGCGTTCGTGAACCTCATCCAGACAGCAGCTCGGGGCCTGGAAGAAGAACTGCGTGTAGAACTTCATGGCGATGACGTCAAAGCACTCTGCCTTTCTACCGTCTACCTTAAATTTGACACCCATGAGTGGGGTCTTTGTGGATTTGTGGATCTCTCAGACAAGCGAATAGATCCCAAACGAAGGCTTACCTTTGAGCAACTTGGCTCTCGCTTTAGCGCGGGTCCTAAAGATAAGTTTGAGCACGAAGAGGTGAAAGCTGTGGACTTCACTTTACCTACTATGGTGGATTTTGTGAGTGAGAATTATCTAGACTTTGCCAGTTCAGCTAAGTTGGTGGTTGTCAAAGTTTTGCAGTCGTTTTTCGGAGTTGCAGCGGTTGAACAGGCGTTTAAATCACTAATGGAATAACCAAAAACATCTTCAGTAGAAAATAACTTGTGTGAATGGTTACAAATAATTGGTAACTATACCCGGACAAATTAATTTCGGTAGTTCAGTTTTAAAACATGCACTAATGGCTACATGGGACAGAATTTAGGAGTGGCCCGTTTACTATAGAGAAAAACGTTTGTATTACGAAGGGAAGTTCCAAAAATAGTTGATAGAGGGAAACTGTGTTCCAATGGGTAACATAAGCGAAGCTATAAGACAGTATTTCTATATAGTGAGCAACTAGTCTAAAGGGTCCAGTAAATACAAATCATGGAAAATTCTGATAATCAAGAGGCACCATAATGTAATCAATAGATCTTTCTACCGATAAGGCGGCCATCTTGAATCAAGACATTATGGGATGTCGAGGGGGCAACTATTGGAAAATATATAGAATGTACAGCTGTCTTGGTCGGCTTTTTATATAACTTAGTTTACGCTTTTCAGTGAGCAGCAYATCTAAAAAGATATTGATTTTGGTAGTTGGAACAATATTCAAAACACCAAGACTTTTAATTATTTGAGAACAAAATTTTCTACGTGTTTGTCCTCACGGCATCCCTTAATTCAAGATGGCCGCCCTTTTTAATAAAAAGGTCTAATCAAAGCGCTTTGATTTGATTGTGTTTCAAGTTCAGTACTTTGATGTCTTTTCCTCTATTTAAAAAACCTTCAATAATTTATTCTTAATTCAAAATTCTCAGGGATCCTTCATGCAATATAAATTAACGTTGTGCAGTAAAAGCACTGGCAACGCCGATTGCTAGTCGTAATCAATATATATAATAATGGGAGTTTCTTATATAGCGCATTTCAAATATCTCAATGCGCTTTACAGTTATAACCAGTGGAGGACTTTATGGGCTGCATATTAATATATATATATTCGATCAAGACTAGCTAAAATATAATAAATATACATCAGATTAATAGTATACGGACAGTAGTTTTTGTATAGAAAAAACTCTAAACTAGATATAGTGTAGCTCCACAATTTGCTAAGCAGGCTAAGTAATAAGTAGAGTTGCTCGGCCGTGTGGAAGATATGCTTACTCTAATTTCGTTTATTCGACGTACACCCCGAAGACTATCGCTACAGCAAATAAAGAAGAATTCTTAAACACAGCAGTGGCCGAAGCGTCTGTCATGCTGCACCACAAACAACGGCTCCCCAGGCGAAAGCCCTGCTCTCCTAACGACCCAATACTAACAGTACAAACAAATTTATATCGCTCAAGACCAAGTTCTTTCACAGCATCGCGAATCCTATCACTCAACTCCTTCGACTTTAGTCTGCATTTTACAGGATCGTACGACACTTCAGTCAAATCTTCTTGAAGGATTCTTTCTGCCATTTCCTTGATAATTTCAGAGCGAAACTTCTTGTCGTCATGAGGGAGGTTGTTGTGAAGTTTCTTTATGTTTTCTAAAATGTTCTCCATATTGACAGGTTGATTTTCGTCGTCGTTGTCCGAGTGCTCACTCGAGACATTTTCGTCTGTGTTGATGTAAGGGTAGAAAATCTGAAATGCCATTGTTGAACGGAGCATTAATGAATTATAAAGTTTACGATGCAGACAAAATGTCTTAGCTCAACTATAGCACTGTGATCAAGATCCAACATTTAACGCTATCTTTGTTTTGAAAAAAAACTGTTAATTGGTTTGACACATTTGCTAATCCTAAGTTTATTAATGTAGTTTACGACACGCAATTCCTTTCAATCAAGAACGTAGATAACGTAACTGAAGAACGTAAATTGAAAAACTGAAAACTCCCTAAAAAAAGCTGTAACGCCATAAATTCCAAAAACACCCATTCAAACTCCAGTTATAAGATTTTTATGCTATTTAATATAACAAAGACCGTACTACTTGATGCAGTGAATGCCGATTTAGATAAAAATTGTGAAAGGTGTTATAAGAAGTAATAAACGTGATAGCGTTAGTTAGTTGAACAACTATCAAACTAGACTTTTAATTTCGTAATCTTTCTCTTCACGGAAAAGCAAAGTTTTAAAAGGGCGAGGATGCAGGATTCAAGATTCGTCTAAATTTTTTATCTTAAATTTGAACCGGCAACCTGAGCCACGAAGATGCGAGCTGTATATATGACAATGGCGCAGCTTGTCAAGTTCTCTGCTTAGTGAATGGTTTCTAAAACAAAAATTTCATCCYTAAATAAAAATCTTCAGAAAAATCCCACCCAAATTTCTTCACAGATCAGACTCGGTAAAGGTTTTTCTTTTTGGTTATATTTTTGGTCTTAGCTGGCAATACGCCAAAAATTAATTTAACCAAATTATGAATATCGCACACGAACAGCTTTTTAACTAGCAGTATAAGAATCTTTTTGTAGCCTTATCAGTAATTATACTCAAAGACAACAAAAATCTGTCCCCGCCGACTTCAACTAATCCGGCGCGAAACTTTCTCCTGAGTTGAGAAATCGAGGACACGGTGCATGCTGCAAACTTACCTAACATTTAAGGTTAAATAGTGTTCTTCGAGGTCAGTATCTATATATGATGCCGAGTAATTAGACTATATATATATCGGTAACTAAACTGGCTTATTTTCAACTTTATCTTTATTAATAATTCATGAATATCTCGTAGCCTGCTKAGTGAGTATTCAAGTGAAATGTGAATTGAAACAACGGAATAAGATGACGGGCTCTTTTCAAAAAAATGTGGTTTTGGCTGACTGAATCAACTTCATTGGTCATGAAAACAGTAATCTTGCAAAGAATTATGGAAAAAGAGTTTGGTAATGTTTTTTCCTTGGCGGTTAATTAATGATGAATATGTCTCGGCAGTGTCGAAACTACGAGCCTTCCTATTTCTGTTCCAAGACTGTTATGTATTTGTGGGCTAATAAATGGTGGTTTTGTGCCTATTCTATCAAGAACAAAGAATGAACCCAATTATCAGTTTATTGTGCCATGGTTAAAAGCTGCAGATACCGCCCAGCTCTGATCAGTTTCAGCGATAATACCCGTCACTCACCGCTTCCGGTATCTTCACACAACGGTATCTTTCACTTTACTTAATGTACATGAACTACTGTCGTGCTAAAAGTTATTCATTGCATCTCTTGATTTGCGCGGGAATACTAGACAGGCGCGAATCTATAGAGGAGGTTGGCAGTGCATTGGTGCCTGCATGACAGGGTTTTCACTGGACTGAGAAAGGCGAGGCCTTACGAAGTCGACGTGAGAAGTGACACAGTTATTTATTAGGATAAATTCGAAAATGTAGCTGATCCAGTCCTGATTTAGTCGACTGAATTAGAGCTTAAAGTTATTGATAGTTGTAAACGAAAAAAACCTCGTTCAGTCAATCGAAATCCAGAAAATCGTAGCTATAGCAAATATAGACGAATTCTTGAAAGAAACACTAGTAAATGAGTCGCTTTGCGGCAGCCACAGGCATCGACTTTCAACGTTGAGTTGACTTTGTAAAGATCCAATGCTTACTGTGCTAATAACTTTATACTTGCTGGCTGTAATTGCTCGTACTTCGTTACGCATTCTCTCACTCAGCTCTGTTGCCAGAACCTTACATCTTGCAGCATTGTACTTCAAGTCATAAAGATTTTCATCCAAAATGTCTTTACAAACGCTTTGAACTAAATTCACTCCAAATTGCTTTTCCTCTAGGAGTATTTCGTCACTTTTGAACTGTGAATTTGGTATTAATCTTTCCATAGTTGAAATCTCTGGGAATTACCGAAGGCCAGGAGATCTTAGTAGATTTTTCTTCGATTTTTTCTTAACGGTTTTTTTGGTTAGCCGGCTAATTTTCTATGAAAACTGCAGGTATGTTGCAGCAATACTTAGAAATGCAAGTGCTCCCCCTCCACCTCGTTGTCAGGCGTAACTTTAAATAGAGTCCTTAAAATATAAATATTAACCTTATTTATACATTATCCTATTGAATACAGACAAAAATGTCCAGTCCAATTATGCAAACTCAACCGCAATTCTCATTAAAATCACTATTATTGTAATCATTGTATCT